GATAGGGAGATGTAGGTAACAAAACCACTCTTCCCCACTCAAAACGAACACGAAAATCAAAGCTCCAAAGCACATAAATCTACCATTAAGAAACACTGCCACAAAATCAATAATCAGAAAAATAATCTGAAATAATAGGACAACTTAAAAAAATGTTTCATATTCTCAGAGATGAAGTAATACATACATTTTTCAAAAGGATAAGACATTAGGAAACAAAATCAGACATGTTTCAGTAATGGGTAAAAAGAGTAGAAAAATTAGAAAAACATAATCATTGAAATAAAAAACTTAACAGGCAATCTAGACTGTATACAGTCTTTATATTAGAAGGCATTATGAAAAAATTACTCCAAAATGCAACAAAAAGAGATTAAAAAAAATGAGAATGAGTAGTGCCAGTTTTGATTTTGTGTGGTTGTCGTTGTCTCTGACTGTTCTGGGTTTTTACTTTTCTTGTGTTTTCACCGTTTCCCGTTTCCCTGTCTCAGTGTTGTTGGTGCTAGCCACGAAGGCGCTGGGTCTGGGTCAGGGGCCTTTGTTTTTCTTAGCCCCGTTGGCGTTGGGAGTTCGGTGTCTGTGTGTGCTTGTCTTCCTTTCTGTTTTTCAGTGTTGGAGGGTGGGGGGGTGAGGTGGGTGGTTGGGTGCTGGTTACTTAGTTTGTTGGGTTGATTGCGGAACTTAGGTCTTTTCGGGTTTGGGGACCTTAATTTTTTTTTAAGGGGCAACAAGTCTGCCTGTCCTTTGCCCTGGAAGGAGACATTATTATACCGGACAGTAAACCAATCGCCTTTTGCTCCAGCAGACTGTTTTCTAGGCCTGTTCGCTGTATACAGCTTCCTGATAAGAGAGACAGTACCTCTGCTTGCACGAAGTGGAGACTTGGGAGTTCGCTCACCATGTTTTCTCACAAGACCTTCAAGATCAAGTGATTCCAAGCCAAGAAATAAAAGCAGAATTGTCCCATTCCTCAATGGATTCGAATGAAAACTGGTAATAAAATCAGGTACAACTCCAAGAGAAGACACTGTAGAAAAACCAAGCTGGCTCTATAAAAAGCCTCCTATATAAAGTGGCACACATGCTGTGTGTTAAGATCACTTGTATATTAACCACTCAAGTCACAGTGAGAACATCACTACTGTCTGAACAGCTTATGGGGGAGATGCAATGCTTGGCTCCTGATGTTCCCTGTTTCCTCACTAGCAGTCTATGAAGCTCAGTAATAAATATGTGAAGCTTAAAAAAAAGAAAATGTAGACTTATAAGGGACCTATGGGAACAGTCTCTTACAGTGAGTTACACGAATGTATGCATCTGTGAAAATTCATTGAACCCTACATTTATGACTTCTGCACTGCACTGTAATTTAATCTCCAAAACAAGGCAAAATGATCTTGTAAAACAAACAAAAGAGAATAAAGTGTGGACAAATTAAGGGGGACAGAAGAGGTGAATTCTTTGGTTCTGGCGAATCCTTTGAAAGTAGTAGATTTGGAAGGAACCAACCTGCTTTACCCAAGTGGCATCTGACTCCATGTTACAACATTTTTTCAAAATACATAATAATTAGACTAAGCTACCTAAGTGGAAGGAAGTCTTCTCCACTTCATTGTGTCCCTTGAACCCCAAACCACTGAGTCATTCACTTTTTCCTGCCACCTGTAATCCTTTGCTTTCTTGCTTTCTTCATCTCAGTTAGGCTTCTCTATTTTTTTCCCACCCACTTTCTCAAAGGGTCGTAAACAATGGAATAAAGTTCCCTGTTCATGCTCCATTCGTACAATAAAGGTTTTACATGTCATTCTTAAACAAAGAACAGTGGTTGAATTAAACAGTATGTAAACTTAAATTAGAACATGGAATCATGCGTCCTGAGTGTGAATCCAAGCGCCAATATTTTTTCTTGTGTCCTGGCAGAAGTCAGTTCATCTCCCTATGCTTCACAGTATTAATTTTATAGAACTGTTATGAGAGCTAAGTGGGAAAATGTTTACAGTTAGAACAGTAGTGACATAGAGTTCAATATATGCTATTATTTTTAAATACCACTGAGATTTGTATGTAGATTGTTTAGTCTCCAATAGGAATGCAAAAAAACAAAAACATAAAATTGAAATTAAAATTAGCAGAACCTTTGAAAATGAATCTCATAAGTAGGGCCCTAGTTTTTAAAGAGGCATATAAATATTAGAATATTTATAGAGAATATGGACTTGTTTACAGAATCTCTAGGAAGAGACACACACAGGATTCCTTTATGTGGTATTCCAGGGGGACAAAAATTTTGTGCCCATTATGTGTAAACAGGATAGCTGGGCTTGAGGTTACAAAAATAAGAGTTTGTTTACAAAAACTTATGATCTTATACCCCTATAAGATCAAACAGTATACTTTTACCCTATATATACCCTATATACAGTATACATTTTAGATTTAAAAAAAGAGTTGGGACAATAGTGAAAAGCAAACACACACACGTTGGGTTTTTTTCAAACTCAATCTAGCTTAAAAAAAATTATAAATCACACTATGTATATAGTTTTGTATCCTGCTTGCTTTCACTAAATGTTACACATTATCCCAATGCTATTCCATAATTTTAGAAGGATTTCCTGTTGCTGCATAAACATACATTTGTGTAATAGTTTCTGAATTCTTTGTTATAGCCATTGATACTCATCGTAGAGGTTAAGAGCAAGGGTTTCGATGTAGACTGGCTACTTAGGACGACCAGCTTCCCCTCTTGTGATTTTGGAAAAGACGATTCCCCACTCATCTCTTTGAGTGTACTTCAGCTTTTATGTAAAAACAGGAATAACAGTACCTACTTCACAGGTTTTGAGAAGTGTGTAAACCAATTAGCCTGGCAATTTTGCCAGTTAAAGAGTTCAGTAAATTTAGCTATTTTTCTAAGAAATAGTTTTAGACACTTTCATTGCTTCACCAATATCCATTCTGTGCCTTCCTATTATACAGGAGTCATACAGTTAGAGATGAAGATTAGGCATTGATTTATTTAAATAAATCAGGCTAATCCTACCCCTCCAGCCAGTGACTGTTCCAAGTAAACCATGCATATCCTAAAAAGTCTATGGCGTTTGTATGATCACAAAAATGGACAAGCAACCAACAGGTCAACAGATCTCATTATGGCCCTGTTAAACTATGTATTATATAGTTAACTGTTTTGATTTTTAAAGCAAGCTGCTTTTTCATCAAAAGATAAACCCTACATAGAAATGGTAAATTGTTCTTTGGACATATTATTTGTACTTTCTAGAATTCTTAGGTTTGTATCTGTATCTCTGGGTGAACTCAGAAGCTATAACTTTGACACTAAATTGTCTGTTTTGGTGTCAGAGGTCAATCCTATCTTTGTTACTTTTGCTTCTAGTGCTGCAGGTTTAATCCATTCACTCTGAGTGACCATCAATTTGCCTTTCAGCATTACACATTATCCTCTATTTTTGCTGTTTTCACTGTATTTTAGTGTGTTTTTCTTGACAAAATAGCTGTTTAGAAGACTTTTTCAAAATTATTATGCAGGTGCTTGTGCTTTTATTATTTTCTATGTTTATTATCCTGTGATCAAAGAACATGCCCTGCACAACTTCTGCCCTTTAACGTGCACTTCAGGGAAATCTTGCAGCTCCAAGGATTGCTTTCAGCTTTTACACTCCACTCAGATGTGATGTCATATGGACACCAAACAATGATCCACTTCATTCCTCTGGGAAATTCAAGGAAGCTCAAAGGATCTAGGCTTAGTGTAGAAAAGGGTGATTTCCTTGCAATTTGTCTTTAGGACAAAGAGGCTGAAAAGAACAAGTTTAAGGATTTTTTTTCCCCATGTTGTTTTTAATCCTGCGGTTAAATATTCTAAATCAGCTGGTATTCAGAAGTTATCTTTCTGGGTCTCCTCTGCTGGCTTTGTTATTTGTCAATATTACTATCTGATCAATTTGTAAACTATCTTATTTGAGACAATGTAATTCTCATCACCATACATATCTTTTTTTTTCTTACTTTTTAAGAGTAATTTCTCCCTTCTATTTGATTAGTGTTACGATTCACAGACCATTGTGATGTCTTCAGCACAATCTCTAAACCATTTTTGTACTTCTGTATTTTAACCCTATGTTACCCTGCATATAAATATTAAGGTTTGCTGTCTTCACTACTGAGTGTAACTATATTAGTGTACATGTTGTTATTCAGCCTTATACCTCCTCCTGTACATTGTACTCTGAGATACTTTTTGTGCCACATGTACATGACAAGATTTGATTTAAGTCTCTTGGAAGAAGCAAACTATTTCACTTTCTTTTTAGAATTTAAATGATCTAAAATTTTTTATCTTAAGTGCTCTTTTTGACTTTTATCTCATATAGTTTCATTCATGTTTTTTTCAAGGACTTTGACAAGAGACATTCTGTTATTAATTTTATTGTTATCCACCTTGACAGATTTCACTGTTAAATTTACACTTAATTTTCCAAGTAAAAAACACAGTAACTTTTTTCTTTACAAAAGAATTTCTCTTCACTTAATTCCCCACCTCCCACACAAAAAAAGGGAAATTTCCATACTTTCTTGGCCTTCACTCAAAGACTGAGATTATTTAATAAATCTTGCTCTCAATATCAGATTTACAATAATTATCTGTATTATTCTAACTGTTGCATTGATTTCAATACTCACCGGCTTGTCTTTCCCCATTCTTTTATTCTGAATATTGATTCATTCTGGGAGTGTATTGATTATATTCAAGTACTTTTTTCCTATGTAGTGTTTTTTTCAAAATGAGCAGTACAATGAACATCACAGAATCCTTTTCTGTTACCTTCACATTTGGAGTAAAGAAATCCTGAACTACACAACCCTGTAGACACTGTTCCATTCCAGCTGGCATCTAATGTGCAGATGAAGATCTTCAGACTTGAGCCCTTTTAAAAATCAAGGTTTCTTCTATCAAAACTATTTTTTTTTTTGTTTAATTCATCTTGCCTTCTTAGGGAACATCTATTATTCACAGGATAAATCTTCATCATCAGCCTTTTGTATCTCCACATTTTCTCTCAATACATTCCTGTATCGGTGCTTTGGATTTATTGTAACTTTATTAAGTTGCGGAATTCCTTACAGGAGAGCTTATTAAGCACAGTTTAGAACACAGATGAAGACAGCTTTAATCTGGTTGATACCAAGTTGGGGGAACCTCTCTGTCTTCCCTTTGCTGGTTCATGAGAACCCGTAACATTCTGCAAGCAGCGTGGTAGTTACTGTTCTTCACTATGGGTTAGATTTTCTTTAATCTGTGACTATTTACTATTTCTGACACAACTTTTAATTTAGCTTCTCCCTATCTTTTCCTCCTCTCTGGCTCCTCTGTGTCCTTGTCGTCATAATGCCCTGTCGTACCAGAGCCGGGGACGCAGGTATTTTCTAACACGTCCTGCTTTAAACGCACTGGATGGATACAGAAAGCCCTTCCCTCTGAATGCCTCAGGCTACTGCTGTTCTCTCACACTGCAGGAGAGTCTGTTTCATTAGCCTCATGTTGATACTGTTTAATGCATTAAGAAACCAAGACTTTGAATGATGTGTAAGACAAATACAAAAAATGCATAAAACATAAAAAGCACAACTCAAAAAGGTTTTCACAAAGTTACCACCACGCAGATCCAGAAAGACAAGATTACCAGTATACCACAAGCCCCCTTTTATCCCTCTGTGACCCCTCCCCAATTAATTCTGCTTAAGTTTTGTTTCTGAACCCTTTCACAAGTGGGAATCATATAACATTTTCTTTTGTTGGCTCCTTGGTCAGTATGTTCATAAGATTCATCCAAATTATTACATGTAGCAAGCAAATTAGCTCATTTCCTCACTATAGAGTACTTCACAGTATCCATTCTGCTGATGGCCATTAGGGGCTGCTTCTACTTTAAGCTACCAGTAAAGTTCATCTTCGGGACATGTATTTTCTTATCTTTTTTGGATACACACATTAGCAGTGGAACTGCTGAGTTGAGGGTGGATGTATGTTTTAACATTAACAGGTATTTGTCAAATATTTCTCAGGTGGTTGAACCAATTTACACTCCCATCAGCAGGTTGAGAGATCCTGTTGCTCCACACTCATACCAACATCTGGTATTGTTGATATCTTAATTTTTGCTGCTCTTACCAGTGGAGGGGTATCTTACTGTGGTTTTAATGTTTCCTTGATGACCAGCATTACTGAGCATTTAACCGATTTTAAAAAGATTCAACTTACATTAAATGTCAAAGTAAAAAATGTTTTAATGAGAGAATGTTTTAATGTTTCTTCATAAAAGCTAAAGAATGTACCCAATCCTCCCTTCCTCTGCCAAAAGAAACTGTAATCCTTTCTCGGCCTTCTTTTGTGAAATGCCAGTAGCGTAAATCTCTTGCCCATTTCTCAATGAGGACACATGTAGCCAGGCTGATTTCGGAATTGGCAGAACACAGGGACTGCTTTAAGCTCTTTCAGAGTTCACTAAAGTGCTGATGTAATATCCAGCACATTGTCTGAAATGTCAGGCCCATTCCATTTCTCCAGGAAACGCAAGGATGTCTGTTAGATCTAGGCCTAGGGTGGAAGAGGCTAAGGGATTTTCATGCAATAAGACCAAAGTTCTTAAGACAGAGGATGAGTATTTTAAAAAATCTGCTCTAAGTGTTCTAATCTGCTGATGGGCGGAAGATCTCTCTGGGCTGCTTATGCTGCCTTTGTCATTCAGCACTGCTCTTCTGCTCAGAGGTGGGATCTCTTCCACAACTCTCCACCCCAAGGTGAATGTCAGCTGTGGTTCTCTTGGTTAAGGAAAAGCTCCAAGACGGTGCAGCTTCAGTGCCACTAGTTAAGAAACGCAGAATGAAAGCCTTTTCTGATGGGACTCTCAATAGCTATCTCAAATTATTAGTACAGCCTTCTTATATACAAGTTAATAAGGAGTGTTAGAAGCTGGGAAGCTAAGGTATCATCTTGTTTCACGTGACAAGTTGTTTCAAAGTGGGATTTGAGTCAGCTATTAAAGAAAATCCACCTCATTACTGCTTTATAGTAAACATTTCTCCTAGTATCTACTATTCTTACCAATGTATCTACTTAGTCTTATCTATTTAAGTTTCAATGAATGATACCAATTTTTTTCTTAAATGTTTTCAAGGGTATTTTTGCAGAAAGTTGGGAGAAGGGGGTTATAAGTATCTGTGTTTACACAGCCTTTAATGTTCTAGATGAGGAAACAGGCCTCAAAAGGCCATGGTGATATCACACATGAAATATGCTCTTGGGAGAACTAAAGACAAAGATAATAACAAGACTTAGAAGACATGATACATTGTTATATTACAAGTAACTGAAAGCTACTGAACAGAAGCTGGGTATTATTTCAGGCACACTGCTCATCTTGCAGGATGTTGTAAGGAGATCTAATTCCATTGCACTTTATGAAATACTTACTCTGAGTCACTGCAGTAATTTAAGACTGGGCTGGGTGAAAGATGGGACCACATTACAGTGTCTATCTACAGTTCCCACATTTGGGGTGTAAGTGGTAGAAAGTGAACCCTGCCAGAATTCTGATGAAAGGATTAAGCCAATAAGGTATTGATGGGAGATGAACCCACTACTGCAAACCCTCACAGGGGTTTGCAATGGCAAAGAAAAGATGGGTACTCTCTTCAAGTATACTTTTTCTTTGCCATCGGTGGTCCAATTTTGATACAGCCAAAGCTGGTCAGTCTGTCCGTCCCAGAGCTCTCCTCCACTGCTACAGGTTCTTCCTAAAGTCAGTCCTACAAGTAACAAGCTGTGATCCCTTCCCTACCTTCCCCCAATGTCAATGGCCACTTATGCTTCTTAAATTACTAATGTACTAACGTGGAAGAGGAAGAAAGCTTTTTGTGCCTAACTGGGGTCCCAAACCAAAATAACAGAGTTTGTCGATGATGAAAGGAACATTATGTATTTTTATATATCAGATCTTCCTGTATATTAGTAGATAACTCTATTTAGATGACTTTAAATCTCTTCTTTTAGCATTAAAAAAAAACCCCACAAAAATAAAAGAAACAAAATCCCTAACAACTCTGTGGTAATAAATGCTGAGACCTATAAATTACTAACACTGGAAAACGGTAATATCTGAACAAGAAAATTACTAGTAACACCATTTACCTTCAAGATCAGAAACGGAGAGAGAGGCAGGAAAGTTCAGAGTGTAGATTAACAGGAATAGCTGTGAGTAAGCACTTTGGTTATCCTACTGTACCCAGCAGTTTCCCAATTATTTGTGAAAAACAGTACTTGCTTTTTCACACATTCCTGATTTTTGCATCTCAAACATTAATAACTTTCCTTAAACAGTCTGCTAAAGCCTTCCTCCCACCACTTCTGCAGCAGTGTGGTCAGAAAGGCAGTCTCTAGGATGCCACAGGAGCTGCAGTCGTGGTTAGCTTGGAGTTTAGCTAGCTCACGTGGACCTGGACGTTTAGATAGTGCCTACAATTCATAGATGACAGTCATTGGACTTTCTTTTCCTGTGATAACCACTCAAGCGGATTCTCACAGGACCTGTTAACTTTCTCAGAGTGTAGTGGGACCTGCGTATTCTCCTGAGGACAATTCTAACTAAATACAGCACAGTCATTGTAATGAATGAACTGCAATTTCATATTTTAACTAAATATTTCTGTTTGACCCCCTAGCAATACCATACCTTCAGTTCACAGGATCCACTGTTCTTGAGTTACTGTTTCTAGAAAAGGAAATAATGCAATCCATTTATTAGAATTCAGATATTAAAATGGAACTTCTTACCTAGTAAGGATGACCATTATGTTTTCTTTCTTTACTGAAATCATATGTAAAAATAACTGCCATGACTTTTACTAGAGCTTACCACTCACATATGGAAGAAATAAGACTTGCATGTGGCTGTATTGCTGGGTGAAAAGGCTATATAAATATTTCACTTGTTTCTGCCTTTACTGCTATTTGGTTTTATGTGGTCATAAGAAGTTATTGACAGGTAAACTGCACTTAACATATCAAAAGATTTTTTGGGTGCACCAAAAAAACATTCATTTTATAAGATTCACTTTAGGATTGTAGTAATACTTACATACATAGACATGATTTCTGTACCCTTGTGATTATTCTACTCCAATTTTTTAGATACTAGTGATATCACCTTCAAGCTCTTTGCCATTTAAAAAGAATGACACAGATTTAGGAATTTCTTCAGAGCCAAAATCTGATTCACTTATTAACATAATTCACTTCAAAATAAATGTAAATAGAAAGTAAAATTAGGTAGAAGCTTTCAGTGACATAAAGCAAATAATTACCATCCTTCAGAAACATCGAAAAACATCTGCCAACAGGAAAAAGCTGGCCTGACATTTTGCTATTTGTGAGACGGCTTGTGTTTTTCAATTTCTTATGGTAATTCATATGTATTGATAACAAATTGAGGGAAAGCAGATGCTTAATTCTAAAAAATGCTCAAGGTAAACAACTTGGCAACTTCTCAGGGTCTTACTTTTACAACAGTCCAGCCTAAGGTCCAATATGTGGGATCTCTTTAGGTCAGTATGCCACAAAGTCAATGCCAATGACTACCTTATCAGAATCACTCAGAGACCCTGACAAAAAACCCAACCCAAACCTAACACAATCAGTGTACCTGCATTCTAAACAAACATATGAGGTGACTCTTGCAGACACCAAAGTATAAGGACCACTGCTCTAGACAATACAAATTCTATCATGTCAGGCTCAATACCTTAGATACCACTGGAATGCTGTACTTTCTGAGAGGCAATTTTACCACCACCTAGTGGTAAGGTCTCTCATTTCTATTTTCTGTTCATTAATATTGAGTAGGTTGAGAACACACTTCTGGGAAGGCTAAAATTTTTGAGTAAAAGTTCCCTTAGTATTTTGTATTAATTTTTAATCTAGGGTTGGATAAAAAAGTTTTTAAAAAAAAGCTTGTAAATAAAATGACACCATACCATATGAATAAAAAATAGTTTACATTCCAGAAGAATCTTTCCTAAAAATTACTCCTTCTAATACTAGTGCCCTGTCTGTAGTATGCCTCTAAAAACACACTTAATTCACAGTGCAAACTATGGTCTTTTTTAGAGTTACAGGGCTGGGGTACACTAGCAAATTAAAGGCTCTGGAAGCTTCATGGTCAAAAAAACCTGTGAACTAATAATAACTGAACATTTCCTAAACATACCGGACCATGAAAACTTCTTTCCAAAAGAAATACTTCTTGACTTCTCTCAAGACAATAGTGTTTCCAGGAACATAGTTTGGAACATGATGCTCTAGATGCAGCAAATCTGAGAGCTGCTTTCAGTATGTGATCGACCATAAAAGATCTGACAATGAATTTACAAAAAAGTCTGATCAGGATTTATTTTAAATGTTATTTATTATGCAAACCATATATTTGAAAGAGAAGTTTATTGCTCTATATTGCTTAGCATTTTCTTTGAAATAAAAAAGCACTAATAAAAACCACACTATGTTGGCAATTGCATGGTATCAAAATGTCTATACATTTCATTCTTATACCAAAAGTGCAATTGAGAAGTAAACATTTAGGTGAAGACATAAGCACTAGCTTATTAAATGCTATTTTTTAGGTTCTAGAATTTCCTCATTTTAAGAAAAATGTGACATTCTGGCTTTTAAAGTTTTAGGGATCAACGGCAAGAGACAGGAGAGCGGCAACAAGGCTAAACGATTGAGAGGATTAAGATTAAATGCATATGGAAGCCAAAGTAACAATTATTCACTGAGGCATGCAACTGGGAGAGAAAACACAAGAGAAAGTTGCACTGTAAAAGCAATGAAGTGTTTTGCAGGCAGAGACTACTATACCTTTTTTTTAAAAGAATTTATATGAAGAATTCAAATAAACATGGACAAGGCACCTTACTGAAATCACGACTGTTTACTGGAACTGGCTACATCACCTTAAATGAAGAATAGAAAACATGGAGGGCTGGAGGGTATATGATAGCTCCCATGTGAAAGAGTCAATTTCTACAGGGTCTAGTGAAAAACTTCAAGAATAATAAGTAAAATAGCAAGAAATGAGGTTTTATGTCAATAACGAGGATTAACCAAACATGCAATGGACTCAGTTAGGCAGGAGGGAGCTTCCTATTTTTACATTATTTGGATTAACCATCTGGCAGGAATATTTGGGGGAAAATTCAAGCATTAATCGAGTGGTAGAGCTAGATAAACTTCAAGACACAATTTAATTCTAATCTGTGAAAATGGAACTACATGTGCAGTAAATGAGTTTGGGATGAATAAATCTATCTATTGGTAATTATTCCCTAATTCTCTTCGGTTAAGTTTTTCATTTCTAAAGACATCACTGGCTTTCTTCTTAAAAGATGGCCTTTGGCTAACAGAAAGATACTTGGTTCAATTCTTGTTCAGTAAGTCTTGCCTGGAAAGATAAGACAGGATATTTTCTTGTCTAAATTCGTTAAAATTAGTGATTCAAAAAAAGGATTTTAAGTTTTTAACAGAAAGATGTCCAAGTATGAAATATATTATTATGCTTAGTGAATTTAATCTTTTCACTGTTTTTAATTTAACTCAGGATGGAAGAAGCATGAGGAGCCAATTAAGTGGTATTTAACAGCTGTATACCACTTAATGTCTTTTTTAAGGTGCCAAACTCTCAACTTTATACCTTTTTTGATATGTATCATTCACCTCAAGAGAAGATAAAATTTTTTTCTTGCATTTTCAAAATAGAAGCAGAAGCAGAAAAAGTTCATAATTTTTAATTTTTTTTTGAAATGACTGTTCTTCCTATCATAGTTTGTTCTGAAAATTGCTTACATGTCCTATTTTTGGAGCAGCCATTACATTTTATATTTATAAAGGAAAAATGTCCACTTACCAAAGCCACTGGTATTTATTTAAACTTATCAACAATAACTTAAAATTTTTCCTTATCATCTAAATTGCTGTAAATCTTAAAATCCTAAAAGATCTGTACAATATAACCAACAAAGTATTCTGGTATAACTACAAAAAAAGTATAAAAATATTTCTAATGACACGTCTTTTAGCCCTTGCTTCAGAGTAAGTGTAAGGAGCCAATCTACATGTGTAGATTGAGTAGCAATTACCATATTTCATTGAATCTAAGATGCAACTGACTGAAAAAAGCACCTTTATGTTCCACTGAGAAAGAAAAAAAAAAGGCTGTTAATTATTTACTGATTGATATCAAAATATTTCCAATTTCAGAGTGTAAAAATGTGAAAAAATGTGCATCTCAAAATCAATGAAATGTCATTTAATAAATTTCTAAACACTGTCTATTAAGTTTATCTCATTCTTATCTTTCACATAAATAAGGCATGATTTAGTTAACCAAAGAAAACTTTATTTCTGCCACACATAACAACATATTACTCTAAGAAACAACTAATATATTAGTTTTAGCATTAATGTGTGGTTGAAAAACACATGTCAACAATCCTATTCCCCAGACAAAACAATGCTGCGTACAAACTATCAGGTATATGAAAAAAAAGCCGTCAACTGTCCACAGGGAGTGCGTCCAGTCACATTTTCAGTCAGTCAGCTGAGGATTATGTCATTATTTAGTCTTTGTTCTGTAGAAAGAACACAACACAAGTATGAAAATCATCACCTGGAAGGAGAGAGCTGTTGTATATAGTATTCTTAAAATGTTAGTTGTTCCCGTATTTCAATATACCCAATATTATCTGCTTACTTAATCACAGATGTCCCCAAATAAGCAAAACCAAACTTACTGAGAAGGATGATGCAAGTGGGTACTAAATTTTTGGAGGGAAAATGCATACAAAAATCATGCATGATTTGAGGATGACACCTTTGGGTTTTATCCCTACACACCAGGCTGATTGAGTGGGTGCTTGTATTTGTCTTCTTAACCATGAGTCCAACTAGAGCATGTATGCTAAAGTATTTTGTTCTTTTAGGTAGCTAAATTTAATTTAACCTTAATTGTTCAATAATAATTGAGAAACAAGGATAAAGTTAAGAGGGATTTCCCTCAAAACAGTATGTCAAGATACAAAACAGAGGAAGTGAAAAAAGCAACAGTTGTACAAACTGTTTTATGTGACTAAAAAAAGGAAATGGACCTATAAACACACACACACACACACACACACACACACAGATTAGGATGCTCTAAAATACTAAAATTCGAGTTTTCTTCAAATAGAAAGAGAAACATATTTTGCATATCAGATCTATCTCAAAATAGAACTCAACAACTTTCAAAGTGATATCCTTAGACCAGTTTCTTCTCCGATTTCCTAGGCACAATTCAGTTAAGCTTATTTCTCAGACTAAAAGAACTAACCTTCATAAGCAGTGTTTGTGTTCTCTTAAAATTAAAGAAACAACTGAAAAAATGTCCCCTCCTGTCTCCCAAAATCTTCAGTGGCTACAATCATGTAAAATTTAGGAAAGTCTTCATACTATTTCATGGAACCTTAAAATAATATATTTAATATACTAACAGAAGAGGTGAATTTCATTATGAAATCCACAGTAAATGAGGATTCAAAGGAAAAATAAATAAAAAAGCCGTGCTACAACTAGAAGACATTCAAAACCAGCACAGTTCATTGTGTCCTACCATTTTCAACTCATCTGACCCTACTGTATCTTTGCGCTGAATATGTATAACTGTTCAACAAAGGGAAAAAGGATAGACTTGTATTTCATGACTAGTCATGCTGAAGAATACGCACTTCTTCTAATTAGGGAACTGGATGAAGTATAACCCTTAAACATGGTATTTTAAAGCTTCATTCTCACACACCTGCTGGCCAGAAGGCGGTTTTGTACCATTAAACTTAATTTCTGACCATTTTTGATGATATGACATAAAAAGTTTTTTTTTTTTTTAGCTGAATCTGTGATGTTTTATTTTTTTAAATATCTGAAACAAATATGCTAAAAGTGTAAAATCAGTTACATTTAGGTGGTATAAGTGGTACTAGTTATATTATTTTTTATAACTGGTATTGTAAGAGTTATTTTTTTGTAACTCTTCTGTATCTTTGCAATATTTTGTATTTTTTTTATTTTTATTTTTTCCATTTATTTTTATTAGTTGGAGGCTAATTACTTTACAACATTGCAGTGGTTTTTGTCATACATTGAAATGAATCAGCCTCATAAAAAGTTTCAATGAAGTCACCAATACATGAGTTTTAGCTCACACTTGCAAAGTATTTTAAAATTTTATTTTATAAGGAATTTTGCTGACTCATTTTCTCTCAATAATCCTGTGGAGAAACTCAGCCTCAGAAAGGTGAAGATAACTGCCAAATCACAGTTAAGTGTCAGAGCTGGAATCCCAATTCCAGATCTTCTGATTTTAAGTCTAATATCCTCTATACTGTATAAATAATTATTGTATAAAAGGCTCACTCATAGGAGTAATTTATATATTTTCCCCATATTAAGAAGTTAGTATTGTCCTCTTTTAAGGACAAAGATTCTTTGAATAAGAGTAAGAATTACTACCTATATTTTGAAAGAGTCAAAGACATGAATAAGCAACTTTGCATGCTATTTTAGAAGACAGCTTGTCTAAAGAGAATTCAGTTCTTAACATTTTATTTGTAAACACAAAAAGCTGCTTTAAGAAAGACTTGTTAATTCTTCTTCACTGGCAAATTTAATATTTCAACACTGTATGAAGTAATGGGAGTGGATTTTATAACACTTGAAAATATTTCTAAATTGAGATATTCATAATGGCCCAATGGGCACTTCTATTGACAAGTGCCTTCTGCAAGAAGGAAGTAATCATGTGACTTGCTTCAGCCAAGGAAAAGTCATCTGCAGTAAGGACCCAGACAATTCATTCTGATACTTGCGAGTTCTCATAACTGGTCAGAAAAGAAAACCTCATGAAAAGAAAACTGCTTTTGAGCCGGTAACTTCAAACTGAATCGGATGTGCTTACCAGCTGCTGTTATTTGACCAGCAGTGGACTTGGGAAGCGGGTGTGTATGTGGAAACAGGGAAGTACTCAGCTTCCCCAGAAACTCAGAATTCATTTCCAGAATAAAAAAGTGAAAGAGTTGAACAATGCTAACTTTTAATAATGTTTCCCCAAACCGTGGAGATGTGAACTGTCCTATATATAGAAATTTAGGTTTGATTTCTTAATAGTAACAAAAAAGGCATTCAGAAGGCTGTATGTAGTATTATGTATAATTGACAAAGAGTTTTTGGTAAACTGTCAAGGTTATTTTTGAAATTACACATATGTACATGAATGTGTAGTTTTAATGCACTTATTTCTGAATGTGTAGTTTTAATGCACTTATTCACAAATATGAGTCCAGAAAAATACCATTTAGGTCCAAAAAGATGCCTTATAATTCACTCTTGAACAATGTGGATGTTAGGTGTGGTGACCCTCTACACAGCTGAAAATCTGCATATCACTTATCGTGAACCCTTTTATAAATGTGGATCTTTCATACCCACAGTTCTACGTCCACAGATTCAACCAACCTTGGACCCAACCAACCTCAGATCTAGTGTTGTATTACTTACTGCTGAAAACATCCGCATGTTCACAGTGGATACATGCAGTTAAAACTTATGTTGTTCAAGGGTCAACTGTATTAGATATTGCTTTTTAGGCATTTCACTAATGCCTGTCAAGACATACTTTATAAAGACTGTCATGGGCATGCTAAGTCGCTTTAGTCGTGTCCGACTCTTTATGACCCCATGGACTGTATAGCCCATCAGGCTCCTCTGTCCATGGGACTCTTCAGGCAAGAATACTAGAGTGGTTTGCCATGTCCTCCTCCAAAAGACTGTCATAAATTACCTCAATTCATAACTTAAGATGTTAGCTAAAAAAATCTTTAGAAGTCTTCTAATCCTAGAGTTTATGTAACCATACAGTGAAGTCCAATTCTTAATATCTAAAACAGTCACACACATACACAAATACTATTTAATCTTCTAAATTGAAATCTGATTTTATTTTACAGAAGGACAAAAACATTCTCCCAATAAACATAAAAGACTTTTTTTTAAGTTTAAAATGCCCAAGTTTAAAAAATATATTGTAAAAATTTTCAGCAAACTTTTAAGTCACAGTGTTTTTAACCAACAACTTCTAAATCCCTAAAAAGAAATTCTATATGTATTCCTTTCATTATACTATTTAGCCAATGTGTTTTAGAATTTATATTATAAAGACCTTACCTAAAGAATCAGTAAGTTCTTTGTCGTTTGTTAGATTCTTCTCTTGGGGAGTCTGCCAACATAACTTTGAGTCTGACTCCATTCAGGATCTTTCCATGTAAAGTTGTAATGGCATCGTTAGCACTTAGTCTATCAGCATACTTGGCATACCCCACATTTTTTCCTGACACAAGGTAAACTTCAATCAGGTTACCAAATCGACTGAAAGTTAAAAAAAAGAAAAAGAGATCAACTGAAACTGTTAAGCATAGACACTCAGGTCTAAAAGTCAGGATCCATTCTGGACTCCTTTTTCACTCCTTTCCGCACATCCAATCTAGCATGTGTCCATTTTTCTTGTTAAACATTCCCTCTATCAATTAATCTCTCTTCACTCTCACTCAGGTCTTTTTCCTCATTGTGAGCATCATTATCTTTTTCTTAGTTTATTCCAATACCTTCTTCAACAAAGGTCCGTATAGTCAAAGCTATGGTTTTTGCAGTAGTCATGTATGGATGTGAGAGTGGGACCATAAAAAAAGCTGAGCACCAAAGAATTGATGCTTTCAAACTGTGGTGCTGAAAAGACTCTTGAGAGTCCTTTGTACAGCAAGGAGTTCAAATCAGTCAATCCTAAAGGAAATCAGTCCTCAATATTCATTGGAAGGACTGAAACTGAAGTGGAAACTCCAATACTTTGGCCACCTGAGCTGACTCACTGGAAAGACCTTGATGCTGAGAAAGACAGAAGGCAGGAGGAAAAGGGGAGAGCAGAGGATGAGATGGTGGGATGGCATCACTGACTCAATGGACGTGAGTATGAGTAAGCTCCAGGAGACGGTGAAGGACTGGGAAGCCTGGTGTGCGGCAGTCCATGGGGTTGCAAAGATTCAGATTGGGCAACTGAACAGAAACAACAACAAATACCTTCTTCACTAGTTTCCCTGCACCCTGGGCTTATCCCTCTCCAACCCATTCTCTACCCTGTCTTCTGAGTGATTTTTCTAAAACACAGAAAGGATCATTTCCTGCCACAGAGTCCCTCTGGCCGCTCTTTCTGCCTCCAGGGTAAGGATGAACTCCCTAACAGCTTGTGGGCCTTTCTTGACTTGGGTCCCTGAGCTCTTCCTGCTCCATCTTTCCTCATCTCCTAAATCCTATATTCCCACAACCTCTTTTCATGTTCTCTCTGGCAGGAGTAACCACTCACATGCCCAAGTTTCTTCCTTGGCTAAGTTATTTTTATCCTCCAAAGAAACCTTTCTTCTTCCAAGAAGCATTCTCTGACTTTCTAAAGCAGTTGCCCCTCCCATATATTTCATAGCCTGAACACTCCTTTTCACAACACTAACCTCTCTAGTTGTAATTTCCTATTCACTTATCTGTCTCCTACATGTGATCAGTTCTAAGAGGATAAGAACTATTATGTCTTGTTTACATAATATTGATATAATGTTTACACAATGTCTCTGGCACTTAGCAGGTACAGAAGAGAGGTTAATAAATGAAACAGAATCAATTAGTTAGATAAAAATCAAAACACTTGAACCACATTGCTGATATTTTCTGAAACTCTTTAACAAGTTTTCTATCTATCTTTTAATTCACTAACATTGTTGTAAGGCAAGTAAGAAAAGATCAAAAAGAATATGTTAAGGTTAAAGAAGTTATACTGGAAACAAGTGTCTTCCCTTTTTTAATACTTATTATATATAACAGTAAGCATTACAATCAAGTAATTTTTTACTCAATGTAATTATATTATCCTTAAGGATCCAATAGCGTGCTGACAAAATAGAAGATGCTTAGTAAACACTGTTTAGTTGATTACAACTGCAAAGGAAAAGGAAAAGAATTCTATAGGCCAGATCTATACACATGTATTTTCTATCAAGAAACAAATGATTTGTTCATTCTATGTATGTAATTTGCAAAATAATACTATATGTTTTATGTCTTCAAAACAAAATAGAAGGAAATTCTGTGTGGGGATTTAAGACATATAAATAACAAAGAAAAGGAGATAACTAACTATGTATTTTTAAAGGTGATATAAAACCACAGACTTTTTACAACCACAGAACAAATCATCTCCACCTGAGAGGTACTGGACACAGGAAGTTTCCAGATTGCAAGAATGCTTAAATGTCTAGTTTACATAAATTATATTATTTTAAAATATTTATTAAAACTAAAACAAACTTTGTTTTGGCTGCTCTACACAGCATATGAGATCTTAGTTCCACACCAGGGATCGAACTTGCATGCCTTGCATTGGAAGCATAGTGTCTTAATCACTGGACCACCAGGTTAAGTCCTGGTATGACTCTGCTCTTCCAATGAAGGTGTGGGTTTGGTCCCCAGTTGGGGAACTAAGATCCTACATGATGCGTGGCCGAAAAAACCAAAAAAGTTTTAAATAATAAGGTAAAATAAAATATAACTCTATGGAACTGAAATCTTACCAGAATATATCTTCTAGTACATCTAAAGGCAAAGGATGTGGATTAAACACGATAAAAAGTCTTTCCTTCACAGGAGTGTCAGGAGGAGCTTTTTTTTTGCATGATGGTAGTGCAACATCCGTCTGGATTTGAGGCAGCTGTGATCCAGAACTTCCTCCAAATTGCTATTGGAGAATTAGGTTCAAAGTGAGAAAAAGAAAAAACTGCACTTTAGGGATTTTATAGTAAGTCAAGAGCTAAAAATAGATGTGTTATCATGGCACCTATGTGGTCTTGAGAAACCTGTATGCAGGTCAGGAAGCAACAGTTAGAANGAAACTCCAATCCTTTGGCCACCTCATGCTAAGAGTTGACTTATTGGAAAAGACCCTGATGCTGGGAGGGATTGGGGGCAGGAGGAGAAGGGGATGACAGAGGATGAGATGGCTGGATGGCATCACTGACTCGATAGGCATGGGTTTGGGTAAACTCCGGGAGTTGCTGATGGACAGGGAGGCCTGGCGTGCTGCGATTCATGGGGTTGCAGAGTCGGACATGACTAAGTGAATGAACTGAACTGAACTGATGTGGTCTTTTACTATATCTCTGAACATTTTCTTACACAGGTAATAAACAGAGGCCACATTTATTTTATACCCTAATGGTGTACTGTAATGTTAAAATTCTTACCTACTTACCAGAAATTGCTGCTGACTTGGGTTATTCCACACCATTGATGCAAGCTGTGCAGCTACCATCTGCGTTGCCATTTTCCTAAGGAGACTGGAGATAAGAACAGGTAATTTACAGAAAACTAGAAATACTCAAGTCTCTCAACAACAACTTGCTTTGCATGACTTCCTCACCTGAGAGGTCAATTGTTTTCTATTTAGTCATGGCAAGCACACCCAAAGTCTGGCTTTAGACTAGCTCCTGGAATGGTACTTACTCTGTTGCATTACTCCCATCATCAGTGAAGGAAACACCTATCCGATTCCCAGGAGGGTACTGAAATCCATGTAACTTGTATTTTGCATAAATAGCTGATGCTACATTAAAATACTGAACCACTCCATGACCTAGAAAAAAAGCAGAGAATATATGGGAATTAAAAAGAAAGGAGACTTAAAACCTAGAGTCTGTGTTGTCACAAAGATAAAACAACACAGAAAGACACAATATCACAACATTAATAATATATAATCAAATGTATCAGAAAACAAAATTCTTTTATATTGATACATGTGTTCAACAGTCATGTTCCTATAAAGCAAAATATGAACCAGATTTTCGTACAAACATGAATATGACATTTTTTAAAAAACAGTATCATTAGCTTAAGTTCTATCCAAAGAATTTAAAGATGCTGGCTTTTCTTGTATGACAGAGATACACCTTAAAAACCAATGAAGTTTTCTTAATGTTTCAATTCTATGAAATAAACTTCAAAATTCTAAAATTTTCCGTATCATACTGAGTAGGAAATGAAATGAGAAGTGATATACGAAAAGAATATACAGTCATCTTGGCTAGCTGAAATGACATAGAGAGAAAAAGTGATAAATGTATGAAAACCAAAAAGTAGGGAATAGAGGGTTTCGGATCAGACTCACATATTTCACATTCTTTTGAAGAGCTTTTTGGGGGGGGGGGTGAGGATAAATTGGGAGATTGGGATTGACATGTAACACTACTATATATAAAACAGATAGCTATTAAGGACCTACTGTCTAGCACAGGGAACTCCACTCAGCACTCTATAGTGACCTATATGGGAAAAGAATCTAAAAAAGGGTGGATATAGGTACATGTTTAACTGATTCACTTTACTGTACATCTGAAACTAACACAAGATTGTAAATCAACTGTCCTCCAATAAAAAATTTTTAAAAGTGCCACTGGAGAAAAGCCATTTTAACAGACCACAGTACATTTACAAACAATAAAGACATTATTTTACCATAGTTAGAATAAGGATCTCGTTGGACTTCACAGTATTCCAAGCCTGGTACTATATCAAAAATGCTGAAAAGCTGCTCTTCAGTAAAAGGAACTCTTGATACAACTGACAGGCGTTTGGAGATAGCTTCCTGGCCTCTGTTGTCATTCTTGTCAAAACTTGAAAATTCAGATTGTTGTTCTCCAACAATACAGAAAAAAAGGCAGATCTTTACATTTCTATTCAAAGATTCATTTAACATTTTAAGTACTAGAAAATAAAACGAACTGTCATTAAGTCCTCTGCATTGATCTAAGGCACTGTTTTCTGTAGGATGCTAGTCATCAGCACTATCAGCAGAGACAGGATGAGAAAACAGACAACTGCCCCCATTTCCTCGCCTCTGTTCAAAAATGTAAGCCAAAATGTGTAGTCTAACTTCACAGGAATATGCTTACTATGCAAAACTGCAAAATATGGCAAGTGTTTCCCCTAAAAGGATGTTTATGCTAAATAACAGTTACAGGTCTCACTATCATCAAACATTTCCCCCCTTTTTTTAACTTTTACTTTTATCATTCCGCTCTTTTCTCTAACCCTAATTTTAAAGCATCAGTAATTTAGGCATAAAATTTTAGGATTCATACTGAGGGGATAGCTATGTAAGTTTTCCAGACTTCTTGATCAGCAACTCAATCAGATATGTAGCAACTCATCGTCACATAATGACAGTGACATAGTGTAACACTTAGATAATGCAAAACTAGCCATAAAAAAACCCTAACTGGAAATAAGTTAAAATAAATGTTAAAGAATAAGGACATTAGGGATCATGACCAACTTAAAAAAAATCCTATAAATTCTCTTATGTACTTGTGTGAGATTTAGACTGCTGATAAAATATTAAAAAAAAAAATCTCCAAATCAGACTTAATATTTACTACTTATACCATTAAAGTAAAGATAGCCTACTTACCAAATGAAAACATATTTACCCTAGGTTCATGTCCCAAAGTCTCCTGCCTCATATTACTATAATAATCTTGTTCTGACGATTCAGATGATTTATTTTTAGGTTCAGCCAAGATTGCCCTATAACCTGAAAAAGACAATCTATAAATTTCAAACTTTATAGCAAATTTAACACACTTACAAATATATTCAACTGCTACTGCTTGATTTAGTTTTATAATTGTATAAAACAAAATCTATACAAACAACCATATCCACCAGACTTACCTATATTTTTGTTTTTTTGAAAGATAGAAGAGTAAATGAGAAACAGCAAGAATCCCAAATTATGGGTCAATAGAGACATGAAAGACCAGCGATTCTATCCTATCCTTTCCAATCAATCAATCAATCAATCCCTACTACAGATGACATCAATCATCATCATTCATTCACTGATCAATCAATCCCTATTACAGATGACATCATCATTCATTCCCTCAGGCTTCTCAACATCAAAATCTAACAGTGCTTCTTCACACCCAACTGCCATCAAGATTCTTCCTTTGAAATGTACTTAGAGGATGCTACCTTTTACTCCAATTTCCCTGCCTGTTTTAAAATTATATTCTCTTCAATTAATTACAACAATCTTTCGACTGATCTATTTGCCTCTGGGTTAAGAGTTTTAACCAGGTGTCCAAAAATGAGCTTTATGTGTATGCGCACGTGGGCGTATTTCAAAGGGAGAAGGTTCACAGCTTTCACCATATTATTCAGTGGCTCCAAAAAGGATAAAACCACCTTTTGAATTCTTTCTCTGGAAATTCACTCTTGATACTGTGTTTAGATCACTGATCCTGAAATAGTTTTTGCTATTTTTCTTCTCTTGAAGCAATCTTCAAGGGAAGTTCTAATGTGGACTAAGCTTGAACTTTTCATAACCTCCTGAATATGGTTCAATTGTACCTAGATTACTTTTTCAACAGGAATAACAAGGTTTACTCAGATTGTTGCCTTCACACTATAAGGCAAAGATATTTTTTCTAGATATTTTATATCTTTACTAACATTGCTCTCATCGTCTGTCCTGGCTACTCCACACCAAATGCAAATTCTACTCCAGATGTATTTTCATGCTGTACTGGTGCACTTGTTTTTCACCACTGATAGGCAATATCACACACTTTTAAACATTTTTTCATCTGGCATATTTTTATTGAGACTACTCTAAATGACAAAATCTTTGCTAGAGATCTCAGTAAGTCTTAACTGAGGGCTCACTACTATACTGAGAACTACTAAGAGTAGGACTAGGTACTTGGGGTGACAGACACTGATAAAGAAGACATATACCTTGCTTTCAAAGAGCTTAAAAAAATCCTCTAACTCTTCAACTATTTTTTGCTTATTAGATCTTGGCTATCCAAGATAATTTATAGCTATAAATTTTAATTTATGGCTATTAAATTTATAGCTATAAATTCCTTAAATGTCAGGGTTGCTATATAAATTCCAGTTGTATCCCTCTAGTTATATTGATGAATATACCATAGGTACTCAATTAATGCTGGCTGGTTGATAAATTTAGAAGGATCTAAGAGAAAATTTTGGTGTGTAACTTAGGATTATCTAAGCGCTCTACTGATTAACAATAATTATTTCCAGTATGTATTTATTTTATAATATCCTGAAACCCACTAACTGAAATAAATATTCTACATCTCATTTCTAAAGCTCAATATAATCAGAAGTATGACAACAAAGAATATCTTCCTTGGTCTCTAAAGTTCTAATTCTTCAGAATGTACACCAATAACAGTAATGTCACTCTAGCTTCAAATTAAGCCAATGTGCATTTACTTTCCAAAGTTATCAAATCTTGAAAACCCTATCTTTATTAATTATATATTTATTAGTATACTTACTTCTATTTAGGGTTTAAGTCATACACAAACAAATATTACAGACTACTTGAATTTCTTTAAAATACAAAGAATAAATATTAAAAAAAAACAAAAACAAACCCAACCTGAAAGGGTTAGTCAATGTTTTTAATTTCTAAAATTCTAAAATAATTTAATAAACCCTAAAGCCCTGTAGGAATACTAATGAAACTAGGACAACAGCATTTTCACTTAATGAGTTAATGCAGTTGCTTATATTTTTCAAGACAGTGCCTCAATGAATGCTTAATAATAACCCCCAAATTATTTTCACCCTAAGACTGTATATATTTAAATTACCATTGCTGAGATTAAATTAGCAGGTATGGCTATTAGCACAAACTATTCAGATAATTAGATTAGCACTTTTTCAAATAACAATGATAAATGAACACATCCTTACTTCGATCACAGTTTTCTATTGCTTGGGCAGCTTGTGATGGTTTTAAGTATCGAACATAGCCCAAGCCTTTACTTTCTCCAGTTACTTTATTCTTAATAATGCTGCAATACTCGATATCTCCAAACACCTATGAGAGTTAAAAGAAATGATCTTAGAGGAGTCAAGATTAATAAACTGAACAGATTTCAGAACTAACTTAAAATCTGTTTACTGATCTTCTTGCTTGCTAAAAAAAGAAAACGGAAACTTTTTAATAATGGAATAAGTATGTCACAAACTAATAAGGTGCTAGAAAAATAATCTTAATGATGATAAAAACCAAATAATAACATAACCAAAATAATGATGCTTTTTATTTACTGAACATTTGCTTTACATATATCACTTTATTGTTACAACAGTCCTTCAAGGATATATATGTTACATTGCTTATTTCACAGACAAGGACACTGGGCCTTAGAGAAATCAAATAACTTGCCGAAGCCATGGAGGTAGAATAAGAATTTGTTCATGGTCTGGACAGCTTCAAAGCCTTACTCCAGAGACTCTGGAACTGAATCTTCTTTATCCAAATCTTGGCTCAGCCACTTAAAAACTGGGCAGCTGAGTTGCCCTCTCTGAGTCTATCTCCTTACCTGGTAAATGGGGCTAATAGCTGTACCTACCCAGAGGGTTGTTTTAAGGGTTAAAAGAACAAAATACACCTAAAGTGCCTAAACAGGGGCTGGGACATAGTCAACACTCAGTAAATATTACCTATAATTATTTATCTGCCTTTTAACATAAACATAAATAAATAATTATGTATTCTTTTAAAGCAGTGCTTCTCAAAGTACATCTTTAAAATATCCTGGTTCACTCAAAAAGTTAATACGCTATGTAAGAAATATGTGGTAAGTGTTTACTTTTAATGTTGGGAGAAATACGGGGTATAAATTCTGTTTATTATTTATTTTACAGACACCAATTAGTAACTTTACTATATATAAACATGCCATATGTGCTCACTCAGAAAAGGATAAAAGTTTGTCAGTATAGAATGTATGAACTGTTTTCTTACTATTGGGAAAAAGTATGGAGTATATATATTTAGTATTTGTTATTTTTCAAGTATTTTATCCAATCCTCATTTAGGTAGGACAGAGGAAGTTTTAAAATTACTTTTTATTACTTGTTTTCCTTCTTGCTTATTGCCCACAGTGATTCAGCAGTTGGAAAGGCACTGAAAAATAATAAAAAATTACAACTCAAAAGACAATTTTAAAATTACTTTTGAAATAGTTTTTGTGAAAGTGTATCACTGCATATAAAATTCAAAGGCTAAAAAGAGATTTTAAGTTGTCTCCAAATTACACTGACTACAATCTAGCTAAAGTAGGTAAACTGAGAGCTATAGGTAATTTTTTTTTCTTTCAGTATAACTCCTTCAAAGGCCTAATTTTAAAACATAAACTATAAAGGATAAGCCTTTATGTGAATAAGTACATCAACACGTCACAAGCTTACAGTAAATGTGAGATAGTACAGTTCAAACACTCAGTTCATACACTGATGTACCTCAGTGAGAGGCAATAGAGACTAGAGTTAAGAGGGTGCTTTGAAATCTTCAAGACCAAGAGCAGATTCTGGATTCAGACAGCCTGGGCATGAAAAATGGCCCCACTGCATAATCAGGTATGTGACCTTATTTAAAACTCTGAGCTTTACACTTCAATTTCCTGAATCTGTATTTTTGCTAAATGGGGGAGAAACACCATCATTAATATTTTCCAGGTTTCATATATATTTTCAAAAAAATTATTTTAGTTTTAACATTTAAAAGCTAGATTGAAATAAGTGACTTAAAAAGTTATTTAATTCTCCACCACCAATCTAATGATCTAACTCAAACAACGTAAGATTTAGTAATTGTACAACCAATTTAAGATTGTAAATTATCACGAACGTCAGCTATTAGAAGCACCTTAAATTTTTCCCGTAGATCTTCTTCTGTGTAGGACTTTGGTATCATAACAAATATTCTTGTAAGTTCTTCATCTTCAACATCTCGGTGACTTCCAGATGATCTGGACTGAGCAATGAAAACCTAAGAAACAAACAAACCCCAAAGAAAAATGCAGAAATATCAGTCAACTGTTTTTCTATTTCTTAAGAATACTTACTTCATTATTAGTGTAAGATTCTTGTTAGGTTACATATAATGTGATAGGATCTCATCAAACAACATTTTAAAGTAAATTTTATTGTAGTGACTTTTTATGAGATGACACTAATCATCACATTATGGTTTTTTTCAAAATTTTTTTCCTTTTGTATTTAATCTGTCCGCAATGTGGAGACCTGGGTTCAATCCCTGGGTTGGGAAGATCTCCTAGAGAAGGGAATGGCAACCCTCTTCAGTAATTTTGCCTGGAGAATTCCATGGACAGAGGAGCCTGGTGAGCTTCAGTTCACAGGATCGCAGAGTCAGACATTACTACACGACTGAGCGACTCACACACACATATACCAAGAGCAAGAGGCAGTGCAGAGAGAGAATGATTGTGGGGTAGTGGTCAACAAATGTCAGTTACACAATTGATTAAGTGTTACTAAAATGTCACACATACTTACTTTGTTTCCCTTTCTATCAGAGACTGAGTGTCAAAATATGATTATGAATTTATCTTTCCTCCTTTTAGTTCTATTAATAATGCTTCATGTATTCTGAAGTTCTACTATTGGCTGCATAAACATTTGGAATTATTTTGTACTTTTTGACTGATATTTTTATTTTTAGGAAATTATTGTTAATACTCTTCCTGTTGAAAACCATTTTTGTCTGATACCATACCAGCTTTCTCTATCCTTTTATCAACTTTTTCTATTCTTTTAGTCAATATTTTCAACCACTTTGTATCTTTATACTTAAACTGCATCTCTTGTAAACAGCACTTAGTTTGGCCTTTAAAAAAATATTCTGACAATCCCTGACTTTTAATAGGAGCCAGTTTATGTTTAATATTGATATAGTTGGATTTAAGTCTAGATGGCCATATTTTTGCTTGCTTTCTAATATTAATCCTTAAAAGAGATAACCCAACTATATTCTGGATCATCTCAGTTACCACCTGAATGACTTATGTGAGCAAGAAAATGCACACAATGAACTGAGGCTCTGTTTCTCTATTAGCAATTTAGATCTACTGAAATATCATCTGTGACATTAGGTTATTACTTGGAGTGTAATTTGCTTTGTGGTATTGCTTTTACTTTTAAAATTGCTTTGGTTTTACACTATTCTAGAAGCATGTGTTAACTACGGTTATGGATTTGTTTATAGAGCTACGAGCATATGGCTACGTTTATTTTTCTTGAAGAAATGTAATAGAATTAATGTAAATCACCATAATACAGGGCCCTTGAATTTCTTGTCTTCTTCTGTCTTTGAAGAGGGGCTATATACCACTCAGTGGGGAAAACTTGAACCTCTGAAATTCCAGAGTAGGAGGCAGTAACTAAAAAACCAAAGAATTTATAAGTATTTTAGAAATCCTGAAAAAGAGGGTCATTATATTTGCTTGGAAAGCAGCTGTCACAGAGGTGTAGAACCTTGCTTACAAGATATAGCTGGAGACATCTCTAGAGAACATCTACTTCCATGTTATTCCTTCAATAAACATACCAAATGCCATCAATAAACATACCAAATGCCAAACACTGTATGAGGTATTAAGTATAGAGTACTGAATAACACAGAAATAGCCCACTAGAAAGTTAGTCCAGTGGATATATTAAGTAATGGATGGTCTGTAGGGAAATACAAATAGGGAACCTTTAAGTATATGAGAAGACACTAGGAGAAAAAAAGTCTCAAGTACTCTTTGTGACTGGAGTTGCCATCAGATCACAAGTTTCTAAATTTTAGAAGACTGGAGCATTTCAAATTTCTGATAGAGGAGACAATATCTAAGTAGATATGTATAATAATTAACCACCTACTTGATGATTTCGCCTAATATTTTATTCTTCCAGTTTCTAGGTTTTACCCTTTTCCTCAAGATAATATAGTTGATCACTTATTGGACTCTCATTTGTACAATGCTTTTTGGCTGTAGGCCTGTTATTAAAATTTTCTTATTTATCTTGTAGGACTTTTGAAACTTTGCAGAAGCAAAGTACATGAAGAAAACTGAAGCTGAATTAATTTAACTGGAAATACTGAAAAACAGAAAAAAAAAAACACCCCACAACAATGCAGTGGAACACGGTGGGCACTGTGAAGAGTGAACTTAGACTGTCCAGCTAAGCACTGTAGCCCAAAAACCCTCTGGCTGAAACTGAGTGGGCAATATGACAAACAAACTTTAAACTTTATCTTTGGGAACCATTTAATTTCTCTGTGGCTAAAAGGGAAGGATACATTTTAGTGCTGAGACTTTTACTTTTCTTGTAGGAATTTAGTCAAGGAAAGAGGGGGTCTATATGTTTCAAATTTGGGGCATTTGGGAAAGCTTCCCAGGAGACCACTATGGTTATATTCAAAGTATAGAAATTCTCTCTGCTAAGATCATAGTTGAAAGAAGATGAAAATTATCAACCAAGTGCAGGAGTAAACAAACTTCAACTTCCTGCTTTTCTATAGTCCATAATCTAAGAACTGCTTTTACATTTTTTTGAGGGTTGTTAAAAAACAAAAAGAATGTATGCAGAAACTGTATGTGAGTCACAAAGCCTAAAATATTTATTGACTCTTTGTAGAAAGTTTGTCCCCTCGATTTTATATGCTGTGGCCTTACACTTAACTTCATTAATGATCTGTTTTGACTTATTTCAGACGGTTTAGAAGGTGGGAGGAGATGGAATGCCTATTGTCTAATGTGTTTGGCATTTCCCGGCTCCTCTGTTTTCTGCTAAAGGAACTATAGGGAAGAGGCTGTTGCTATGGACAAACATGGTACAAGAGGGCTTACCTTATACCAGGCACTGTGCTAAAAGGATAGATTAAATCAGATAACCCTCAAAATCACCCTTCCTGCCATGTGTCAGTATACTAATTTTACAGATAAATTAGATGTGGAAACTAAATATAAATACCACCAAAGTGAACTAGGAATATGCCAAGAAGCATTTAATAATAAGACAATTTACACTATCATCACAATGATTTGGCTCGTTTTCCGCTTTTTTTTTCTTAATTTGGCTCTTTTTAAGGCAGTTTACTTTCAAAGAGAAGTGACAGTAACAAATAATATGACATTAATACCTTCACAAAGGGGTTTATTTATAATCGTAAAAATTACAAATTTTTACATAAGTGTGATAAATAGTCAATAGTGGTAGTTTTAATTAAATATTATATACATGTATACTTTTGTTTGGTACTGGGAAAATGCCTAACTTCAGAGGGCCACAATTAAATTTACTTTTATCAAGTTGTTAAGCACCTTACGACGTGGGGAAAAGTAGAGTTAACTACTTTTATACGTGGTAAACCAAGACGCCTGAGAGAGGGGAGTAACAAAAGTTCTCATAGCAGGTCACGGTCGGAGTTGGGAGCTGAACTGGTGACGGCGGGAGTGGGGCAAGGCCCAGCCACCGCAGCTCTCCGCCCGAGTAGCCGCAGAAACCGGGCCCGACCCGGAAGAGGGTGTTCTCTCCGCGTCCCTTATCTCCCGCACCCGCTTGCAGATTTTCGCGCAGGGAGGTCCTGGGAAACCCTCTTTGCAACGCGGTCCTTCCCTCGCCTCGCCCCGGACCGCTCCCGCGAGCGAATGCACTGCCCTTCCCGCACCCCGAAACCGCTCCCCTGAGCCCCCCAGCCGGGACATCGCGTCCCGGGCACCCGCACCTTGATAGGCTTGGTGTCGCTGGGGGTGAGGCACTGGCCATGCATCTCCTCCATGGCCCTACAGGCCTGCGAGCTGCGGGCAAACTTGACGAAGGCGATGCCCTTGGACTCCTTGGTGTGCCTGTCCCGCACCACCCAGATGTCCTGAATTTCCCCAAACGGCGAGAAGCGCTCCCTCAGCACCGACTCGGAAGTGTACTTGCTGATCACCAGGAAGATGCGGCTGTTGGGCGGCTCGTCCAGGTTGTCCACGCCCGGGCGGAAGCCTCCGCCGCTTGCACAGCTGCCCGCTTCGTCCATGGTGCTCCACCCCGGAGCGGAATACAGGCTCGCACCCCTTTACTCCTCTAGCTCCAGCCGCGCCAGCCACGACCGTCGCACCACACCCAGCCGTTGCCGGTCAGGGGTCCGTTTCCGGAAGACTGAAAAGTTTGGCTCCCGGCGCAGGCCGGACGCGCAGTGAGACGGCTTCCGGGGTGGGGGGTGCTGGGCAGCCTGCAGCGCCCCCTAGCGGCCCGGGGGAGCCCGACGCAGTCCAGGCCCCCAGTCCCGTGGAGCCAAGGCCCACACTTCAGGTGTGCAACCCTGGTTCCCTGTTGCTAGAAGAGCCCTGTCTGGTGGTAGAGCTTTCCTGTTGCTGGCTCTACCCATCCTTTACAGCCCATGGACTCTTCCACCAAACCTGCCATTTTGGCCGTAAGCTCACAAGAACAGCTCCATAGGACTAACTTAAAACTGTTCAGCTTTACTGCTGATCATCTAACTCCAGTCTTATTGTTGAGAAGATTGAGATGAAGAATTGGGGCCCATCGCATAACAAAAGGCAACAGAAATATTAATACAAACAGCAGAGCCCTAACCAGAAGACAACTCCATCTTGGTGTGTGCTAAGTGGCTTCAGTCATGTCCTACTCTTTGCAACCCTATGGACTATATAGCCCCCCAGGCTCCCCTGTCCATTGGATCCTCCAGGCGAGAATACTGGAGTGGGTTACCATTTCCTACTCCAGGGGATCTTCCGGCCCCAGGGATCAAACCCACATCTTTTTTGTCTCTTGCATTGGCAGGCAGATTCTTTACCATCAGAGCCGCTGTACTCGATTCCCACAAGCAACCATGGGTGGTTTGAGGGCAGAAAAAATGCAACACGCAACTGTGGAGCTAGGAGAAATGTGAAAGCTAAAGTGAAAGTGTTAGTCACTCAGTCCTGTCAGACTCTTTGCAACCCCTCGGCTCCCCGTCCATACAATTCTCCAGGCAAGAATACTGGAGTGGGTTGCCATTCTCTTCTCCAGGGCATCTTCCCGACCTAGGGTTCCAACAGGGATCTCTTGCATTGCAGAAAGATTCTTTATCCTCTGAGTCACCAGGGAAACCCTAAGGTTCAGATTAAGTGGGAAATTGGTACTGACTTCTAAAATTTGCTGTTAATGGAACTTGAAGACCTGGGTCGCTATGAATGAAAACATATAAATACTGTTTATTGTGTACCAACTATAATCCAGGCTCTATATCTATTGCCTGGAGAATGCCGTGTACAGAGGAGCCTGGTGGGCTATAATCCATAGGGTCACAGAGAGTTGAACATGACTGAAGCAATTTAGCACATAAGCAAGCTTAATTAATTCATCCATTCTACTAGCTCAGAAATGTTTTTGACTGTCTGCTATGTGTTGGGCACTGTGCTATGAGTGATATGTGTTAAATGATTCTCTCCTTACTTCATGAAATTAATAGATTGGGCTTCTCGAGATAGGATTATTTGAGATAAGATATATGGGACTAATAGCCTAGTGATCAAATGAGATGTGTACAATGTACAATAGACATTTAATTTCTTATTCCATTTGTCTATGGTGTACACTCTTCCATTCTTAATATTGTATAGTTGTATGATGGCAACTGAGTTAGGGATTCTGGGTTCTCACTTAGGCTTTAGCACAAAATTGGTACAGTTTCTCCTTGCATTACATCCCACGTCTGTAAAATGAGGGATCTGTTTACATTGGAGCTTAACAAGTTAAGGAAATACCTTAATTTTCCACTTCTGTTTATCTTGCCCAGACCAGTCAAAGTGGATGAAAACAATGTTGTAATATAATAATTTTTTTGGTGTAAAGAAAGTGCAGTATTCCAGCAATAGTATTTGAACACCAGTGCCATCTAGTGGAAAATGTGTAATTTTTTTAAACAGCATTTTCTGGGAAATCTCTCTTCTTTGTAAAACAAGATTACTGATTGGTATCCTGAGAATTTTAGAGTAGTTAATTTTATTTTAGAAGGAATGAAAGATTGGGGAGAACAAAGCCAGAATCAGAATTATTGGGTAATACTGAGAAAGCAAAATTTCTTTACCATTTAATCATGTGAAATAATACCACATATTCAAGGAAAATAAGAAATTTACCTATATTATAAATTACAGTAAATAAATTTTTCTTTGACTTGTCTATTTTAAACAGATTTATTGCTATATAATTCAAATATATGATTCACCCATTTAAAGAATTCAGTTAATTGCTTTTTAGTATTCCCAGAATTGTGCAACCATCTCCACAGTTATAGAACATTTTCATCACTCAATAATGACAGATTTTTTTTTATTTTTCAAATCATATAAAGTCACATTTGACTATAAATCACATGGAAGTAAAATAGTTGAAAATTCTGAGATTTTAAAGAATGATTACTAATTTGTCTTATATTAGAGAAAAGATATGCTAGGCCATTGCCGATTAAGTGAAATAAAACATGTAGCCTACAATGCACAATTATTAGAGTGATAGACACTGAATTTCACATGAAATTCAGATTTGCCTTGAAATTTTTAATAAGTTCTTACTAATCTTTTTTAAAAGTGATGATATTATAACTTATTTTTGAAATGCAAGGATAAAATAATAAATTCTTGTCATTGCATCCCCAAATTTCTCTAAACTATGATCTAATTACAGGAAGGCTTATTGGTTATTGACATTAGTCTTTGTGTGCTAAGTCACTTTAGCCATGTCCGAATCTTTTTGACCCTATGGACTGTGGTAATGACCACACATATGTGAACAGGCTTCTCTGTTCATGGGATTCTTCAGGTAAGAATACTGGAGTGGGTTTCCATACTCTTCTCCATGGGATCTTCTTGACCCAGGGATCGAACCTGGGTCTCCTGCATTGCAGGCAGATTCTTTACTGTCTGAGCCACCAAGGTTGTATAATTATAATTATACATTATATTTAATTAAGTAAAAATGTTTTGCCTTATTTGCAATTTTTTACTGGATTTTACCACTGATATTTATTGGTGATCAATTAGTAACTTTCAGATTGTTCTGCATGAATATGGTCCAGAGTCTCCATTTTACCATCTACAAGTCTATAGGCTACTGATAATGTACGTAAGCGCCTAACTTGGCATGTGGTATGCACTCAAGAAATGGTAGTTTCCTTTTATTTCCTGAGTTTGGTCATCTTTGAGTTTGAGAATAATATTTAACACCAGGTTTTTTTCTCTTTTTGATTCAATTTGATGACACACATCTTTTAAATACGTGGCTCACAGGACAGACACATAGGTACCACTTAGAGTAGTTTCATTCAACCATCTGTTAGTTGTGGCTATTTAATTTAAAATTAATTAAAGTTAACTAATTAAAATAATAAAAAATTCAGTTAGTCACATGAGTCACACTTAAAGTGCTCAAAGCTACTTGCAGTTAGTAGACAGGGTCCACACTGAATATTTCCATCATAGTAGAAAGTTCTATTGGACAGCACTCCAGAGAATATGGGTAAATCTTGCACTTACCTAACACAAAATTTAATAAGCTAAATTATTTTAATATTTTTATTTCTCTGTTAATAGCCTTTACCACTCACATCTCACTCAGGTAATCGTGTAACCACAGGTGAACTACCTCCCCCCTCACGTTTTCCTAAACATAGCTTTGACTTTCTCACCTGTCTGCCTTCAGTATCCTCGTCTTCTTAAAGCTTTCTCACTCTCCTTTTTATCTCCCTCCCTTGCCACTTCAGGACCCATTCTCCGTTTCTATTCATACTCTAGTCTGCTGTTCTTTTGGAGATGAAACAGGCAGCTTGCAACTTTGCTGTCAGTTCTTGTTTATTGCACTTTTATGTAGCTCATTTATAGTGATTTAACTTTTAATGTACTTTAATCTTGCCCCAGCTGGATTATACCTCATAGAAAATTGGAACTTCAGTTCAGAGTTTGTCCTTCCAAGTTGCCTGGCACAGCCTCTTGCCCCCAGTAAGCACTTGCCTTGTTCTTTTATTGACGTGATTTGATTCCTACAGTCACACTAATGAATCATTCATAAAATGTTGAGTTCCTACCTCAAACAAGAACTGGTATATACTGTGAATATACATAGATAACTCTTAAGTGAGGTAAAAGTTAAACAAATAAACATTTTGTCACGTTTAGACTCAGTCAGTGACAGCTCTGCAGTGCCAGGTTTTTTTTGCTCCTGCGAGAGTTGGGTTCCTGCGGGATTTGAGGACCAATCAGCAGTGCCGACGGGGCCCCGCCTTCCATTGGCTGGCGTCGTCCCGGAAGCACATGCTGGGCTGGGCGAGCAGTACAGTCTTCGAGGCGCTGCTGCGGTATCGCTAGCATTGACATCAGGACAGACTGTGGCTCAGCCGCTGCAGGTTGACGCTAAAGGTTTTGCAGGGAAGCGGAGGACGGAGCCGCTGGCCCTGAGGTAAGTATGGGAATAGCTAGGAGGGAGTGGCCTGCGAACTCATGTGATCTGAGCACCGTTATGGACCACGATACAATTTAGGCCTGGGTTCACTCAGAGAGGAGTATCCCAACCGTCCGGGTAGTAAGAAGCTCTCCCTTAGCTCTAGCCAGGTGGGGCCTGAGTAGCCCTAAGTGCAACAGAAGACTGTTTCTGCCAGGGGCCTCGCTGCAGCCTTTCTGATTTCTGGATGGGACTGATTTTGAGTGGAACCTTCGGCCCATATTTAGCAGCAGTCATTCTCCAAAAGGAGGTGGTGGCATGCAGAGATTCAGTTCAGTCGCTCAGTGTCCGACTCTTTGCGACCCCATGAACCGCAGCACGTCAAGCCTCCCTGTCCATCACCAACTCCGGGAGCTTACTCAAACCCATGTCCATCGAGTGCGTGATGCAATCCAACCATCTCATCCTCTGTCCTCCTCCTCCTCCCGCCTTCAATCTTTCCCAGCATCAGGGTCTTTTCCAAGGAGTCCGTTCTTCGTATCAGGTGGCCGAAGTATCGGAGTTTCAGCTTCAGCATCAGTCCTTCCAATTAATATTCAGGACTGATTTCCTTTAGGATGGACTGGTTGGATCTCCTTGCAGTCCAAGGAACTCTCAAGAGTCTTCTCCAACACCACAGTTCAAAAGCTTATCTGAGCTTACTGATACGTCTTCAGGCAACCTTGATTAC